AGCTCTGCTTCCCTGTGCCGTGATCAGAAAACGCCCCAGCGACCTCTGGGCAGAGAGCCAGGGTGAAGCTGGAACTCCCTCATGTGTGTCCTCTATGGTCACAGCCCTGCCATGGCACCTATGCTTAAAAACAGTTGCTTCATATAATTTGTCTAGCCCAGTGCAAAAAAAATTTGATGGCCAGGTGCAGTGGCTCACGCCTATAATCCCAGCACTTTGGGAGGCCGAGGTGCGTGGAGAGTTTGAGACCAGCCTGGCCAACATGGTAAAACCTTGTCTCTACTAAAAATACAAAAATTAGTCAGGTGTGATGGCACATGCCTTTAGTCCCAACTACTTGGGAGGCTAAGCAGGAGAATTGCTTGAACCCGGGAGGTGGAGGTTGTAGTGAGCCAAGATTGCACCACTGCACTCCAGCCTGAGTGACAGAGTGAGACTATCTCAAAAAAAATTTCCTTCATGAAGTCTTTTACAGTTCCTGTAGGCAGAAATGATCTGTCACTCTTTGATGCCTGGGACATTTGTGCCTCTCTTGTGGCATCTACCCTCTGTGCTGTGCTCATATGTCTGTGTCTTCACCCAGGCTGAACCCCTTAGTGATATGACTGTGCACATGTCTGGTCCTAGTGTTTAACTCCAGGCCTGCCCACACTGTGCACCTATTGGCCATCTAGATGTGCACTTGGGTTCTGGCTGGCTCCTACACCCGTGCTTCTCTTTTGCTTTTGAAGACTCCTTTTAATGTTAATATTTTTTCATGGTAGCTCTACCATCTATCAGTGGAAAATACTCAATGACAAAAGACACCTTGTCTTTGCCCCATGAATTCAACAGGGCTTCTTTTTTTGAGAAGGAGTGTCACTCTGTCTCCCAGCTGGATGTGCGAGCTGCACAATCTCGATCGCACTGACATCCGGCCCTCGCCGGGTTCCAGAGCGATTTCTTGCGTGCGTCAGCTTCCTGGCGAAGTAGCTGGGTGGGATTATAGGGCCTAACACCACCGTGTCCTGGGGTAATTTTTCTTGTGTTTTTAGTAGAGATAGGGATTTACAGTTGTTGGCCGTGTTTGCTCGAACTCCAACGGATATATCAGGTGACATAATGACCACGTCCTCTGAAAACTCGTCTCACCACACCTCGGTCCCTCCCAAGAAGTGCTTGGGGTTACAGGGGTGATCACCAAGCATTGCTCAGCTTAACAGCGACTTCTTTTTTCTTTTTTTTTTTGAGGACGGAGTCCTGCTGCTCTGGCTCAACCCGGGGCTGGAGGGTGATGTGGCCGGATTAAGTCCTCGCACTGAAGGCCTCGCCCCCTCCCCGGGTCAGCCTTCCTCGCTGGCCTCAGTCTCCCGGTAGCTGGCACTACAGGCCGCCGCCCTTTCGGCACGGCTAGTTTTTTTGTATTTTTTAGTGAATGGTGTTCCCCGTGTTATGCGGATGGTATCGATCTCTGATCATCACCCGTCCGCCCCCCGCCCCCGCCTTGACAAAGTGCTGCGGATTAGCAGGCTTGGCCCGCGGGCCCGGGCCTCAAGCAGGGGGACTTTTATGGGGACTGGGCTTTTTTCTCGTATGACTCAAATTTTCTTGCTTTGTGCTTACATGTCTAAATTTTTTATTTGGGATGGCTGGCGACATTAGATATGAAATTTGTTGGTATTAGGATTTTTGTTTTCTTTCAAGATTTGTGATTTTGTTTTTGGCAGAACTGAAATTGTTGGTAGATGTGTTGTCCTCTCAAGGCTTGTTTGTGGGCTTGTTAGGACAACTCTAGACCAGCCCTTCCCCCAGGGTTAGCGTAGGACACCTAAGGCATGTGCTTTTCAAAAGGACGGAAATCAGGGCAGTGGTTACCGGGGCCTGGAG